TTTGAGATAGAGTCTCACGCTGTCACCCAGGCTGGAGTGCAGTGGCACAATCTCGGCTCACTGCAACCTCCACCTCCTGGGTTCAAGTGATTTTCCTGCCTCAGCCTTCCCAGTAGCTGGGATTACAGGCATGCGCCACCACGTTCAGCTAAGTTTTGTGTTTTTAGTAAAGATGGGGTTTTGCCATATTGGCCGGGCTGGTCTTGAACCCCTGATCTCAAGTGATCCACCTGCCTTGGCCTCCCAAAGTGGTAGAATTATATGCGTGAGCCATCATGGCCAGCCTGATTTTTGAAAAAGGTATAGATACAACGATCTTTACAATTCTAACAAGTAAAAGAAGAAAATTTTCCCACTATTATACTTTATATATAGTGACAAATAACATTTTACTCTTATAAAGTTACTTTTCCCCAGCAATTCTTATTTGTTCCTGTTTAATATTTCCACTTGCATTCTTTTAGAACCGTAAAAATACCAAGTCAAAAAACAAAAGCAAAAACAAAACCACAACAAAAAGCCTAGGAGAGAAGCAATAATATGGAGAAAGTGCAAGAGTGAATTAGCTGCCCATGGCCATAGCATGGAAGTGAGGTGAAGGTTGGGAAAGGTCCAGGAAAGAATCTAAACATAGCTGATGGAGTGGTTCAGGAGCTGAGGAGCTGGGGATCTGGGTTTGGAGGACACCTCTCTGTAAATGAATGAGATACAGCTCATGTTCCTGTCGCAGAGGATAAAAATCAGACCCATAGAGAAGAAAAACGTAGAGTCTAAAGGACATGACAAAAGTATTGGGTAGAGCCTACATAAATAGCATTGGAGAGGGTATACCAAAGAGAACTGGGATGTTTCAGCAGATATAGAATGACAGTGACTCTGGAGGATATAGTGGTCTCCTAGACTATGAGGGCAGGAAGGGATCTTAGTCCCGTCTACTTGCTGTGTAGGGAAGGAAAACGGATGGAGAAAAAGGTCAAGGAAAATGTTCAAGGTCACAGATGTCATTCTGCTGCTCAAAACTTGCCTTCCTCACTTTTATTTCTCACTTTGCCTTTCCTTGCTCCTTGCTTACAGGATGAAGTCCAACTCTTTAGTATGACATCAATGCCTTGACTTTGCAATTTGACCTCACAGTACTCCCTTTGCTTGTTTTTCAATTTACCTAAAAATATTCTGTGCTTTTCCCTGCTTCCCTGCTTATGCTATTCTTTCTGAATTGAATGCCTCTCTTTCCTCTACCCACTTCTTGAAATACTGGCTTTAGGAGCCAGTTTAAGACTCAGAGAGTTCCAAATGTCCAAAACATTTTCTTCAAATCTCTCCCTTCCAAGAAATAATTTTCCTTACTTCAAAACCATATATCACCCTGTGGTATTTCTCCTGTGTAAATGTCACCTCGTAATATGACTGCTAGAGTTCTCATAATCAGGTGGCAAACTCTTTAACAACAATAAAGCTGCCTTAGTAATTTCTGTGCCCACCATCACTCAGAGCTTGTGCATATTAAGAGCCTAGCAGTATTTACCGCTAGGAACAAATGAATAAATTAATGAAGCTATTAAATCTCAGCAGCTAGCTATTTCCTATTTTTGTGTCTATCTGCATCATTAGTTTGTGTGTTACAGGGGCCCTGGAGGCCACGTCAAGCTTCCTACTATGCATATAATATGCACAATATATGCCATTGAGCACTTACTATGTTCCAGGTCCTGTGCAAAGTGCTTTACATACATAATCTCATTTTATTATTTATAATAATCCAGTCTGATAAATAGCTATTGTTATTCATATTGTATACACGAAATAACTAAGGGTTAAAGATTTTGGGCAATTTGCTTAAGGGTTATATGGATATTAAATGGCATTACTAAAATTCGAAAACAGATGATTCCAAAGTCCATGATATAGCAAACAAATTATAAGTTTAGCTCCACTGCTGTAGTTCAACTCCTCCACAGAAATTTTTTTAGTTATATACATGGGTACGCAGACATGTAGACACACTAAGGTACATATATGCATGTATGCATATACGTATACATATATGCACACACATGTACCCACATATATTTTAAAATATTTGAAACATAATATTCTAATTAGACACAGTAATTTGTCAAAGACATGTCACATCTTCAGTTCTGCCATAAAAGATATTTTATACAGATAAAATCAGTGAATGCTGCCAATTTTAAGATCAGATACACACTGATGTTCTCTATTTTTATATGAATGAGTCACAGAAACCCCACAGATTCGAATACATGTACAATTTGGAAGAAATCTATGCCTTAGCAAAATTTGACTATCCAACAGCATTCCACTGTTGCTAGTTCTACAAAATACATACTAACTATATCCAAGAACCAACTCTGTAACCCATTCAGGAGCCTACTTAGATCCCAGTATGTTTAAGGTCTTTGGCAGATGTAGACATGCTATCACAGTCCCTCCCGTGAGTCCAGTGATTATCTATACCAGGCAGAAACTTCTCAGTGTTCGCCAAAATCTCTATTTCCCTTCTTTCTGGGCACTCAGTTGGACTATGCAGCCTAGTCTCCCCTGCAGTTTAGTGTTGCCCTGTGGTAATATTCTGTACAAGAGAATGTGAAGGAAAATGATAAAATCTGTTATGCACACGTCTTCATTCTTTTACCCCTTTGGTCAGATGAATATCAGCACCCAGAGTAATAATAGAAGCCATACACTGATAGTGGGAAAGCCTCCATCAGCCTGTATTTCTAAATGACCACATGTAGCACATCTGCCTATTCCTGTCGGCCGGCCGGGAACACTTACCTATGCTGGTGTGTTAAGAAACCTTTATTGTGTTAAGCTGATGAAATGTGACAATTATTTGTCACAGCATCTAACAATGCCCTAATAAATACTGTAACCTCTCAAAATTCTAAGTGCTCCCAGGTTCAGCAATTTTTGATCCTAATACTATCTCAATAATTTTTAAATGAAATTTAAAAACTAACAAAATTATAGCACTGATAAACCATAAATAAAGTATGTATTTAAATTAATTTCAGGCATAATTTTGTTATCATCAGTCTATTCTCATTAGGAATTAATAAGAATTCTGCAGCCAAGGTTAACTATGTCATGTTATCTTTGCTCTTGATCTTTGATATGTTAATCTGTTAGACAACAGATTTCTGTCTTCTTCAAATAAGTCAGGGAAGAAACCTGGGCCAGGCTTGGTGGCTCACACCCATAATCCCAGCAGTTTGGGAGGCCGAGGCAAGTGGATCACCTGAGGTCAGGAGTTTGAGACCAGCCTGGCCAGCACGTTTCAACTAATAATACAAAAATTAGCTGGGCATGGTGGTGGGCGCCCATCATCCCAGCTACTAGGGAGGCTGAGGCAGGCAAATTGATTGAACCTGGGAGGCGGAGGTTGCAGTGAGCTGAGATGACACCACTGCACTCCAAGCTGGGTGACAGAATGAGATTCTATCAAAAAAAAAAAAAAAAAAAAAAAAAAAAAAAAAAAAAAAAAAAAAAAAAAAAAAAAAAAAAAAAAAAAAAAAAAAAAAAAAGAAAAGAAAAGAAAAGAAAGAAAGAAAAAAAACCTTTAGATGTCCTCTCCCTGACTTACAGTCCACTTCTTTTACTACCTGGGTTTTGCTGACAGAAGAGGAGGAAAGTGACCTCTAATCTTTCCTTGTGTTATTGCTTCTGTGTTACTTCCTACACGGTACCCTCTGCGTTTACCTTTCATAACTCTTTTTCTTCTTCTGCCTTTGAACTTCCATTTATGTATTGTGATCTGTTTCCCTCATGTGGAGTTCACGGCATTCCTTGAGTCCTTCCCAGCTCTTCCTCTCAAAACTCAACTTTGCTTTTAGACAGGATTTAGCGTATTCCCTAGAGTCACGACTGCGACCCCACAGCTGCAAGGACCCCAGTTTTTCAATCTGTCTCAGCACGTCCTGACCACCCTGCCTCTCTTCTTTTCTTGGACATTGGCTCTTTGGCAACCCTGACCACAAATTGGCTCTCACTTCCCCCTAGACTTACGTACAGAACTAATTTGACTTTGAGCTCTCTGAAAAAGGTCACACTTTCCATTCTTGTGGTACAGGGAGGGTAAATGCTAGTTTTCTGAAAGTATGCCACAGGAAGATTATTTTAAAAGAACTCAATTTTGCTGATGCCAACTCTTGTTTTACTTTGAAATGTTCTCTCTTTTGCATCAGCAAGGCAAGGGACAAAGTGGCTGACCTGTTCTCTGCCTGCAGCCTGCCAACGTTGGCCTTCAGGTGTTTCTTAGAATAAATGAAGAGAAAAAGGGGGCTCCTATTTGTTTAAAAACGTAGCTCTTCACCGCAAATTTCAAAAAGTAAAACAAGTAAGTTCAGCTATGGCCCTGCTTCAGGAAAATTTGATTTAAAAAAGATATGTTCCTATAAGGATTAAATTAGAGGTTAATGTTTTGCATTTACAAAAGCATAATTTTTAAAATTAATGGCCCTGCAATATTTCCATTAAATTAGAAGATTTTTGCACATGTAAATGTTAGTTATTCCATTTATTGCAGTTGGTTTTAAAATCATCTTTTCAGAAATATAGCTATTATTGACTGCTTAGAGTAAGTTTCATTGTATAAATTTTACACCAATTTTGTGTAAAAGTTTTGACATACACTTCAAGATTACATTTCCCAGTAAGATTATCTAAGAGGGCCTTTTCCACCTTTGGCCACAGTCAAATACAGCAAAAGGCAATTCAAACTGATAGGCATACAATCCTATAACCCTAAAGAACCTTAGATTTTCAAGATGCTCATTCCTATGTCTGGCAAAGGAAGCTAGAGAAACTATTCCAGACAATTAGATGCAGATTCTGGTTTTGTTTTTGATGTATGTATTTTAAATATTCCAAAATAATTATGATGCTGATTTTGGCAGTGTTTCAATAGTTATTTTTAAAATGCAACAGTAATTTTAATCTGTTTTAATCTAAAATAGATTAAACTGAAATCTATTAAAAATAGATTTTAATCTAAAAATAGTTATTTTTAAAATGCAAAGGTAATTTTAATCGTATTGTAATCTGAACATTATTGTGACACAAACACCTCCATTTAGATCATTTCCAATACTTGGACTACAGCATATTTGAAAAAAAAAAATTCTTGAAATTACAAATAGTAGACCATAACTTAACAGAATATATCCTTAGGTTCATTACAAGGGTTTCACACTGAATTTTTGTTGTTATTGCATTTAGTATAATAACTTAGAATACTGTCTGCTTTACAATATTATTTTTTAGGTTTGCTATTAATTCTATTTTCTTGAAAACAGCTAGGATGTTTAAAGAAAATGTCATTAAGTTTCCTTTTACCAATTTATTGGAAAATGAAAACAATTGTTTTGAATTAAAGGATATGGACACTCCATTTATAGATTATAATTTGTATAGAATATATTTTTTAAAACTTCAAACAATTTGTCTAATGCTAAGTACTATCATAACTATTTTTATAGCTGCAATAATGTTTATTGCATCTACTATAAGTAAAAATTAAAATATTTTATTATAGAATGCTATCTTTCGTAAGATACCTTAGAATGAAATTTAAAATATGAAAAATGCATTGGAATTTAAAGTTTCTGCTTTTAAAGATGTCCTTTTGGCTACATCCATATATGCAGTAAAATGTTTTCTTGCAAATATTTAAATTACTCATTTAAATGAGTAGTTACTATTAAACTGGCCTTATGGTTATTACCTTAGTATTTCACAATAATTAATGCTTTACTGAAGGGAAATAGAATTGGTTTAAATTTTCTAGTACTTCAGAGCACATCCACAAAGAAAATCTGAAAGAAACCGGAAAAAGAGCAACCTAAACCCAACGCAAGCACAATAAAAGAAATAATAAAAACTTAAGCAGCAACAAATGAAATAGATAATCGAATAACAAAAGAGAAAGTCAACGAAACCAAAAGTGGGTTCTTTGAAAGAACCAACACAATCAACAAACCATTAACTAGACCGGCGAAGGAAAAAAAAGGGCTCAATAACTAAAATCATAATTAACGACGGGACATTACTACTCACCTCACAGAAACAAAAAATATGTTACAGAAATACTATAAATAAGTGTATACCAATAAATTAGAAAAAAAAAAAAAAATAAAAAAAAAAAAAAGCTCAGAAAGAGAAAAACTACTGAACTCACTCAAGAAGAAGTAGAAAGTATGAATAAAACTGAAATTAGTAATAAAAATATTTCCTGCAAAGAGAAGCCCAGGTCTGGATGGTTTCTACTGGTGAATTATGCTTTTAAATATTTGAAGAATTCCAACAATCCTTACATTCTTCTAATAAAGACTAAGAAGAAACACTTCTCAGCTCATTCTGTGAAGCCAGTGTTATCCAGATACTAAACCTAGACAAAAACATCAGAAGAAAAGAAGAATACAGGCCAATATTCCCTACGAATATAAGTGCAAAGATCCTCAACAATTTCCTAGTAAACCAAATCCAGCAGCTTTTAGAAAGAATTATAATCATGACCAAATGGGAGCTATTCCAGAAATTCAAAGTT